GTCAGCACATGTGGCATACTGCTCTGCCCGGCTGAGCGCCAAGAAAGATCACCCCCTAGCCAAATACGTCTCCTTGACGGCGACGCTTCTGGACTCTTACGAAGGAGAACGCCTGGGCAAAAAGGCCCCTGGCAGTCTAGCGCGCAAGGCGAGGGGTAAGCCAGTACAACCTCTACGGTAAGAGCCGGGGCCATTGGCCGAGTAGAAACAGGAACGAAGGTGGCATTGCCTCTGGAGTTGCTGAGCTGGCATCGCTTTTAGCACAGTTTTGAAAAAGTCACGCATGCTGCCGGACCTTCAACATGAATGGTCGGGCTTGAATCTTGCCATGTTGGCCAGGCTGCCGCAAGCTGCCTCAGCAAAAGGGCCTTAGATTTCGGACATAACCGTTCCGGGCCGCAAAAAAGACGAGCAGACGCAGTCCTGCTCTCCGCACCGGCAGATTACACTCTAGGTTCAGGAACCACACCATACGCAAGTTTGGGCTCGACGACAAGCACCCCAGCTGGTCCAGTATGCCGGACCTCCCTCATGGCATTGAGTACTACGCCGCTATGTGGGAGGAAGCCTGTCGTCAAGGCCATGACCCCAAGGCATATCTACATGACGAACGCCTGGAAGCCTCCACCTCCGGCACCGGCTCCGGCACTGGCTCGGGCAGCGGCTCTGGCTCGGGTGGGGGGGATGGTACGACCACGTCTAAGTCCACACCTGAGCAGGACTTCAAGCGCGACCGACCCCCTACTCCGAAGTCTGGCAGACGATTCCGGGGCAATAGCCCGACCGGGACAGGCAGGACCAAGTGAGGGCATCGCGATTCGCGCTACGCGCACAATTCGAGGGGCAATAGCTCACGATTCCAACAACTGACTCCCCGTAGACTGCCGTCCTGCTCAAGTCCTCGTACTGGCTGGAGCCATTGGCTGCTGTAGAGCATCATGGCCGCAGCGGCAGCCTCTACCCCGACGGGGATGGACGACTTCGAGGCTATCCTGGATCGCATGGAACACCAGGCGGCCACTCTTGGCTGTTTCCCGCCGCCTTCCCCGCTGTTAGGTCCGACGCCCGACACATGCATGGAGTTACTCCAGGGGCTACGTGGCCCAGAACTGGGCAAGGGCATGACTTGCACGGTTGCTCAGTGTGCGGCCCACCCGTCTTACGCCCTCAAGACCGTTCATGGCCAACACAAGTATGAATGGTTGCGGGAGGTTAGAGAGGGCCTTCTGCCAGGAGATCTTCCCTTGGCAGGCAACCAATGATGATGGCTACTTGGTCGCGGAGCACCCACCACCACCTCCTCCGCTGCCAGCAGAAGATTCCGACACGACGGAGGGCCCGGGCACAACCTACGGATGAAGGCTTTGCTCCGCTTCTTCAGGGAGTCTGGGCCCCGTACCCCCCAGAAGAGCCGTCATGCCACAGGGAGAGGGTCCGAGAGGCGAGCAAGCTGCTCGAGGAGGCGATATCACGGCACTCCCGGACACGGATGTGGACATGACGGCGGGGGCGACACGGTATGTTCCACTGGAGGACAACACATCAATCCGACTGGGGCGTGGGCTGGCGCCCTTCGATTTGCGGCAGACGTGCTTCAGGAGGTTGCCAAGGAGCTCGATCCCAGCAAGGAGCAGAAAGACCAGCAAGTAGACACCGCATTGTCTGCGCCAGGGACTATCACACCCGCTGAGACGACCGCCAAGCCGGGTGTCCTGACCCCGGAGCTGACTGCGCAGCTAGGGTAAGAGTTCTCTCTAAAGCTGGTGGCACTGCCTACCTGACATGCGCATGGGCATACTTTTCCTAGCTGGAGGCATTGCCTACTTCCGACATAGGCTGCGGAACTTGATCTGTATGCCTGAAGCTAGGCAGTACCTTAGGAGCTCAATTCTTCCGATAACGGGACTCGCGACGCACAGAGACGGTCGTTAGCCGAAGCGGAAAAAATGTAGTCTGCGAGGCGCTGCCACAGAAGGAGGAGTCTGCAAGTTACAGGGACTTATGCTCTCTGTGCGTGATCACACGCAGCAGGCTCAGCTACCCCCTGCTGCACGGAGCTCTGTAAGCGTAGGGCGCATGTGGAGACTACGACGTGCCCCGGTGGACATGCCACTGGATGTCGCAGACGAGGACTGCGCCGACTCCTCCCCTCCGACCAAGCGCCGCAGACGGGCAGTCCCAGCAGAGGCCTGGACAGAACACCTAACGGAAGCGGAGAGGGAATTGCAACAAAGGCACGAATGCCTGACCACCGCTCTGCAGCTCTACCAGCCAGCTTCAGCAGGGGCGCAGCCGGGACTGCGCCTGCTCCTGCCGCCGGGCATAAGGGAAGGGGACAATCCCTTCACACTGTTCCGCTCGAGGTTCTCGCAACAGACTGCCTGCACAAGAGATGGATCGCCTTCGCACAATTCGAGGAGATCTTGAACGGCATGCCCAAGACTTCGGACACCAGGCACCCCTCTCCGTTGGAGCCCGTCATGCAGGACCAGAAGAGCATATTTTTCGGGGCATACTCGCAGGGGCCATTGGCCGGACTCAGGACGCAGACGCGGAGATACCCCATGGTGATCAAGCTCCTCAACACACGGTGATTCACACACTGTGCGGGCCCGTACCGCGCTCCACGTTGTTTCTGGCCCGGAACAGAGCGGTGGGGCTGCACACGGACCCGAACAACCATCGTGATGTTCCCAACTATCTCATCCCCCTCTCCAACTTCGAGGGCGGTCAAATGTTCGTCGAATCCCAAGCCGGAGACTACAGTCTGGACGAGCACGGAATGAGGGGCTATGTCCACGAGGTCACACTCCCCTTACTGCAGTTCAACGCGCGTCGACGGCACATGGTTCTGCCGTGGTATGGCAGGCGGCTCATCCTGGGGGCCTTCCATGTCAAACTCAGGCGCTGACCGAGCTCACGCGGAAGCACCTACTGAGCCTTGGCTTCCTTTTTCATGAGAGGGCCTAGTCACGTCGGCTGCAATTTTGCTGAGCTGGCAATACCCTCAAGCTGGAGCCAAGTACGCCCGGTATATAACCGTTTGGCGCCGGGTCCATTGGACATGCACATCAACTCCGAGGGCTATCCTCGGCTATAGTGCGGTCTAGAAGGCCGGACCAGGCACGGCCTAGCTCACTGAAAAAAGGCAACTCGCTGCGCATACTTTCGGCGAGCACCTACACCTTGCACGGTGAGTGCCTGTCACGGCTTGCCCAAGGTCTATCTATCTGGCATGGGCGACAGCGCTGACGACAGCGCCAAGACGTGCCCCTCTGCCGCCTAGCACCAGGGCTGGCTTGCAGCAACCATGAATCACAGCCATGGTCTACTGCCCAGATCAGCGGACCGCCGGCGCCGTTGCTGTCATGCTCTCTAAAGCACAAGGCTAGCTGCCGAAGAGAGGCAGACACACACTAGACACGGGACAAGCAGAATTTCTCTAGCAGCTGCACTGAGATAGCTCTGCCACAGTGTCGAAAGGCTGGCTGGTGCCATTGGCAGCTGACACTTATAGTAGTGCTGGAACGCTGGGAGCATTGCTCAATACCAGGGACCTCTGCCATGGCCACGCAGCCCTCAGGCGCAGATGATGGCCCCTTTCTGGTATTGACCTTGCAGCACCTGCTTTTCTCCTCAGGGAGGGGGCTTTCCTACGGGGTGGAACCCGTAATGGGTGGCTATGACGTTGATCGCGCCCTATCGGAAAGAGCCGCAGAACCCCCCGGTGCTGGAAGTCCTGGCGTGGCACTTCGTTCAGGTATTGGAGGCAGCCAGCCAGACCACCACAACTTTCCCTGTCCAGCACCCCGGACTCAAACATTGTTCTTCATGACGCTTTTCATCGGCCGGTCAATGCGGGACTCATCCCCTTGAGGGAGAGCTTGCCGTCCCACAGACAGGGCTCATATGACTGGATTGCAGGGGTCAGGGACGAGTACAGTCTCAGGCCATTTGAACTGCAGGGGCAAACCATCATGAGCCTCCAAGCCCGCCACGATGAGTGGCCTACGCCACCGGGTCTGGTTGACCTCCTTTACAAGCAGGGCAACTGCCACTTTCGCCCGGAGGTTGCGGAGAGCGCAATTGGCCTATTGGTTGTAATGGCCATGAGGAGACAACAGCCGGGCAAGTTCCAGGTCCTGGTGATATGCTCCTGGAACTCTACGGATGACAATGTTCATCAGGAGATGCACGCCACGCCGGAACTCTGCCGGGTCACCACAGTCTCGGAGTTGGGGTCATTGGCCGCCAGACATACCCAGAAACCCTGGGCATTGAGGCG